TCCTGAGATGAAGCGGTACGCGCGTTATTTACAAGCATCCGACGATTCGTTGTTAGGCAATGCTTGGCAAGAAGGGAACAATGGGCGTCGCCAACGAAATCGAGCCGAAATGTACAACTAAATCCCGTAATTCATAAACGCAAAAATATCTAAATTTGTTACACCTCACGACGTATAACGAGTGATTATAATTTTATTACATAATTTTACGCATAATATTAATGCGGCGCGTAAAATTTTGACTCGTTGTTTTAGATACTTCTTTTGACTTTTTAATTCTTGTTTTAAATTATATTTGTAACTACTATAAATAATTTTCCGTTCTTATATTTATTATATCTATGGCTCGACATTACATATGTTAAATTGGTTACATACGTTATATAAGTTAAAGTTAGCAATTTAGTACGAATGTACTGTCTTTATATTTTATATTTATTATGACTTATTGTTTTTCTTGGATCCGACCTTTGTCAATTTTAATGTTCGTTAGACCTATTGGTCACTCAGTATGGCTTAGACGAAGTTCAATCAAATCTACATAAAATGTATTTAAAAGTGATTATTTGTGAATATTAATAGCATCCAAAGTTTCATGATAGGATTTGGTGATCGTATGGGTGAGTTACTCGCTACTTATCTGGTTGATTTCGAATATCTCAAGTATGTGAATTTAATAGCGAATTCGATTGGGCGTATTCAGTGTGCGCTGATACGCATTAAAGCCGTCGTACATATGTTTATACATAAACATAAAAATCGATTAAATCCTGAAATACTCAATACATTTTATTGTACTATTAAAATATGTATTTTATAATTCGAAATATTTGCATGTTACTTTTATACTCAAATTAAATCAGTGTACAACGGCTTTAATATACACCAGTGCGCACTAGTTCTTTCAATCGAATTCGCTATAAACAGATTACACTACAGTTTTGGTAACCTGTGAGTGACTCTACCTCGACTGTTCGCGAAATCTAATATGGATTAAGAATATTGCTGAAGAATATTCCAAAAAGAATCTAAATGTTCAAGGATTTCTCAAAATTTTAAATAAAGATGACATCAATACATCAAATGGAGTAACAAATTTATTTGTTAACATTTTATTGTGTACTTCCTCTCGTGCTAACTCTCATTAGTCCAGATTAATTCTGTTTTTGTTATAGATTATTGGGTAAATTTAATTTTATATTCACATGTAAGTCACTTATGTATAATAAGAGTCACACCATAAGGCATTTTTATCAAAATCTTGTGAGAGAGAAGAATTTTTGAAACTACTGCTCATGTTTACGACTACACCAACTGTACATATTTGTTACAAAAAATATAGTAAAAATTTAGAAAATGGGTGGATGAGCAGTACTGTTCTACAACAATTCTTCATCTAAGGCTCATTTCATATTTGTGTTGCTGAAATATAACATTTATATCTAAAATTAGTGTGATTCAAATATAAGCGGGAATTGACAAAACCTAGCGAGTTAATAAAAACTGACTACAGTGGTGTAACTCTTATTATAGAGTTTCTCATCATAAAATCATTGAACTTTTTCTAAATTAATTCACTAATGTTTAAGACTTTATAGAAAAATAAATTAGCGTTAAGAGAGAAAAATTTTTATTTTAAAAAAGTTAATAAATTAAAGTTTAAAAGAAACTAAATTAAGTTAAAAATTAATGCATTTAAAATTAACTAAATTAAGTTAAATGTTATTCACTTTTTAACTTTTTTTTTAACTTTTAACGTTTCAACTAATTACTACCCAACCCTGAAAATGTGTTAAAGCAGATCGCGACGAGGCAGACGAGACAGACGAGGCAGATAGATCACATAAGAGAAAACAAAGTCTAAGGTTTACGACACGATAAAAATAGCTACAGACAGAAATCGCTGGAGACAATTCATTCCCGCGTTATTCCATAAAATGATCTTCAAGTATGAAGAGTCGACTAGAGACAGAGAGATACTATAGTTATTTACACAAACATTTCAGGGATGTCCAGGATACGTTGTTAATATTTCTCATTTTCAAGCAGTGCGTGACATCGCTTCTAGAAGGACACAATAAAATTCAATTATTCGTATTTAAAAAACCATATCGAATAGGATAAAAAGCACAGTGCGTTGAAATTTCTCAACGCAAAATTTTCATCCTTTTTTCGATAAAAAACAATGAGTTTTTGAATGTAAGTTCCCCATAATTGAGCTCCAAAATGAAAATTAATAATAAATATCATTTTTTACTAAATAAGTTCTAAATCGCGTCCTGCTTAATTAATGTTACACCCTGGAACGACACACATACTAACAATATATTAACAACATTCACACAACGTACTGTAGATGTACTAAAAACGTTCATTGGATAAAATGCAACATTGTACGTTCAAACTTCATGTATCAGACGTCTTCAAGATAATTTAGGTACGTCCTTGAGACGTTCATACATATTGACCAGTACGTCCTAAAGACACCTTTCGAACATCCATTTGTTGTGTTGGATGTCGAATCCGAGATCACTCACAACGTTGAGCTTAAGATCATTTCCAAACTCGTTCTTGCGCGAATAAAGCGGAGCGTTGTGACCAGTGATTGACTCCCAAGCGCCATGAAGATCGTACGTCATAACGTTGATAAAATCTAGATATTTGGACATTTCCATGATATTGTAGGACAAAGAGGCGGAATTCTCGGCAGCAGCAACGGCAGCACTGAGAATTAGTCCATGTTTATCGAATTGAGATCTGAGTTCCTTCAGCAGGCTTATATAGTTTTGCATATCCTCCGGTTTCCCACCACGCTGGTTCGGGTATTCCCAATCGATATCGAAACCATCGAAATTGTATTTCTTCACAAACTCGACGATATTCTTGACGAATTTCGAACGAAGAGTCGGGTTGGCTACGACAGAAGAGAATTTAGCGGATCCCTCGTTCCATCCACCGATAGCAATAAGCGTTTTAGTTGTGGGGCTCTGTTCGCGAAGCTTGTTGAATTTTCCAAAGGCGTCCTGGCCCCAATTATCGGGAAGCTCTTGCCACGAGTCTAAAACTCGAATATCGCCTTCATCACCGATGCCAACAAAGCCATAGATCAGATGGGTGCAAAGATTTGGGTGAATGAGAGAAATATCAAATTTGCCTCCAGAAGGTCGATAAACAGCCCAACTACCGAAGTAGCATACAATCTTCTCTGAAAGTGTTCAGAAAAATATTACTATAATTAACATGTCACATATTACTACAATTAACATGCTAAAAATATTACTACATTTAATATTTATTCTTTTTTAATCATTTAATTTTCTAAAAAATAATCATTTAATTTTCTTTTTAATTTATTTCTATAATCGAGTATAGAGTGTCCCAAAAAAAGTGTATGTCCTTTTACTGACAGATTTTGTGAAACATTTTGAGACGAAAACTTTTATATGAAGTATCAAGGCTACAACGCTTTTCAAATTATAAACAATTATAACAAATTATAACAATTCAAGTTAGCTAATTGCATTCAAATTCTCTTATTTTATTATAAAATCTTCAAACTAGATTACATCTACACTGTCAAATCTATAGTGTCAAATTTAATCTAATGTAAGTCGCCACTGCTCCTACTAAATATATCGTTATTTTATACTAAAACGATAAATTTGACACTATATCGTGCCAATTTGATACTATATATATAGTATCATATTGCCACTGTATAGTATGACTAAAAATAATTACATACGTCTATTAAGCTAACACAACCACTTCAGCACAATCGAATAAAACCTACACAGAAATTTAGTGCTTTTTGTTGCTAATTTGTTGCTCAGTTCCCGATTTTGTTGCTCCACCTCCGACCCTTGAAAACCACCCTTAGCAACTCCGCGTCAGCACACCTCCCAAGTGTAAATTATTGAGATATCTCAGTTGATTTCGTGTCTTCGATTTTGTTGCTCGCGATCAGAGAACCGTAATTAACCCAGCAATAAAATCGGAGATACGAAATCAATCGAGACGTCTCAATAATTTATACTTTAGAAGTATTGTGTTGATGCGGGGTTGCTAAGAGTGGTTTACAAGGGTCGAGGGTGGAGCAACAAAATCGGGAACTGAGCAACAAATTAGCAACAAATTAGCACAAAAAGACTAAGGTCATTGGAGGGAAGACGCCACACTTAAGCCTTTATTCTTGAATAACTTCTTAATGTTTGAATTAACGAACGAAAAAAATATTATTTATATTCTAGCAATCTTTCTTTATTTATACAAATCAATAAATTAAACTTTGATGTTCCGTATTATTAAAAAAAATTGATATGTTATACCCTGCAAATTGGCATCTTCCCCCTATATATTGTGACGTGACATTTTGTCCGTCACTGTGCGGACTTGTCGACGGCGGACTCGCGC